TATTTAAATAAATATTCTTATAAATACTTAAATATTTATATTTTATAAACATGTAAATATTTTGATTGCCCAACTTTTGAAGCATTTACATCTATCAGGTTTTCACAACACAGAAAATCATACAGAAAATTGGCCAATTCTTGCAGGAATGAATGTCATGGAGAATCCAAGAAACTTTCCATGATCCAAACAATGATCCAAGAAACTTTCATGTCCTAAAAGCAAAATTACTGAATTGCCTAGAAATAGGCTATTAAAATTCAATCACTTCTCAAAAAGTTTTTCCAAACACATTTTTGCCTACAAAAGACTGCAGAGGATTCCTGAATAATACTTTGCAGTTTATACTAACAATACCTAAAGAGTTAAAAATGTCATCTTAGGCATTATAGTGATCAAACAGAAATCAGTGTTACATCACAAGTCAGTCAAATATTAACCTGTAGGTCAGGAAGGAGGAAAAAAAAAAAAAAAGGAAAGACTTCCATGAATATATGGAAAATTCAATGCATTACCACATTACCCTTGGCAGTCTCAACTGTTGACGAGGACTTGAACTCTTAAGCCCCAATGCTCTCCTTCAGTAAACCTTGACAGAACCAGAAGCTTTCAAGTGACAGCACCTCATTTACAATATTCAGAGTGTGATACTAAATTTTATTTATATACTATGCATGAATGACAAAGGGAAGGAAGCAAAACGTTCTCAAACATTGTCAAGTGTACGCTCCAGAAAACAAGTGCCCATCCTGTAGAGTCACTGAAATCTGAAATCACCTCCCTGAGTTGGACTAGCTTTTGGGTTTATTTCTGTAATTTATAACTTTCTCTCTGCATTGAGCAAAATATAAGCATTATTGCAGCATAGTTACTAACCTGATCTGAAATATTATTTCTCTTCCACATAAGAAACAAAAGTAAACAAATGGCACCAGGCACTTTACCTCACAACACAGGTAAATGGCCAATAAAAGCCAACTGTATTAATTTTTAATTTTGTACATACCAAGTGTATTAATGCGATAGATGAACTCCTTAAAGATTTCTTTTTCTTGAAGAAATTCTACTGGGATTTCAGGAAAAACTGTGCCGAAGTCACCTGCAGGCTTTGGTGACCAGCCTAATTTCCATACCTGAAGAAATATAAATAAAGAGTACTTATCCAAAACAGAAATAGTATTAGCATTACAGCTATAAACATATATGCACTATTCAAAAGCAGTGAGATATCAGTAAATTAAGTAATTCTCCAAATACAAAAAAAAAGCTTAGAGAAAGATTAAGTATCTAACACAGCTGTATTTCTAACTTTGGGGTTTGAGGGTTTTTTTTATTTTACTCACTATGAATTAATTATTCAGTCTTAATGTCCAAGTTTGGACATAAATGCAACCAAGTTCCTGTCATATATTTCAGTTTAGAATTTAAGTGTCAGATGATTCCTAGATTGTGTAGAAACGATGCTAAAGGTAATGCAGGGAAAATAGTTCAGATACTATTGGCGTCTGAAAAAGCATCACGATACATCTGAGAGAGGACAAAAAGAGTCTCAATCCAAAGAATTAGTATCTTTTGACAACCCCTTAAAAACAGAGTGCTGAGAAACAGAGAAAGGCCAGAGAAATGGACTTGCACATATCAGGAAACCTCCTTTTGCTCTACCTAATAAGCACCTAGAGATGTTTCTGATAATGGTTTTGAAGTTCATCAAAATAAAGTCATTTCATAGTACTAACAATACATGGAGGTAATCACGACATGTTCTTAAATCCATGTTACAGTGGCCAAAAAGAAATGGTTGGAATGCCTTGTCTGAAGGATCCAAGATGATTTAGGAAAGAACCATAACATACAACCCAAAAGTATCTGTATGGGATACCATGGTATGGCACCACACACAAGCACCTGAGTTAGTTCAGACACTACTGCATACACCTCAGCACCATTGCAGTATTTTGGTACTTGGCATGAGAAAAAAATGAATTTGTCAATTCAAGGGTCAAAGAAAGTAGCAGTGTGGATTTCACATTCTTTCCAGGGTAAGCAGTCCCACTGAGCAGGAGGAAATACTATTCCTAACAAAGCACCTAAGTCACTGCTTGCTTTTCCTTTCTTTAACCAGCACCTGAACATTCTTTCACACAAGAATGTGAGAAGCAACGATGCTCCTTTCTAATCAAATCTCTGATCTCAAAGTGACCTCTTATTTGATATCTTTATAATGTTTTGCTACTCAATGTTTAAAGACAACAAACTGGTTGACCAAACTAGCTAAAGATTGAAGTCCTACTGACATAAAACTTAAGATGCAGCACCATGTTTGGTTTTCAAAAACTTGTTAAATAGCTTTTAAAATCCTGAAAACGAAGCATAATGAACATACCAATGGAGGTACTCTTGTGTAACTGTTCACCAGAGGCAGTCTTGCTAAACTGATGATGACGTTCTTGAGGACAGGAGTAAGAAACGCTGGGATACTGCTGTTTCTTTTGTGCCCGAGCGCCAAGACAGTCTGTAAGCATTCCACCATCTCAGCTATCATTTCACAAGCTGCAGTAATGTGTTTAGTTTCTTTGTTGGAAGAAATAGAAATTCAGTTTTATGAATCTACTCAAAAGACATAATTTAAAAAGATACAGAAACCCAAAAAATGCCTAATGAAAGAGTATGTTGACTAAAAAGAACAAAACTACAATGAGGATGTAAACAAAGAAATACTCTACAGTATTTTGGCTTGTTGAAGAGCACTACTACTACTACTACCACCACCCTCCCTGCAATGGTTTTCACTGTTTGCCAGTCTCAGTGGTGCAGATTACCAGTGCCTGAGATGTGTCAGCAGAGCAGCTCACATGCTAACCCCAGAAAGAATGGGCCACATCGAATAGAGCATTTGTTAGGATTTAAAGTGACCAAACTCATCTGTTTTCTCCTGAACAATCTCAGAGCTGGCTCTGTGCTAAATCTGACTAGCAGGTAATTTCTGTAGATGAAAGTGGTATCTTACTGTACCAGCACAGCTGCATATGGAAGATAACGCTGTCCATGCTCACAGACTACACCTGACCTTCACCTCAATGTAATGCTCCCATACTGCAGAAGGGCAGATAATGTATCTGCCGTTCTTCAGAAGAAATGTTAACAATTCTACCTCTTTAAAAAGCTCAGTCTGCAGTGTGCTGCATAGCTAACAGAATCCCCCGAAAGAAAAATATGCATTAACGTTTAACTTTCAAGGAAAAACAACTATAAGAATATATCAACCTATATGTAATAAAAATTTATCGAACACAAATAAGGTATCAGATAAATCCTCATTGTTAAAAACCAGTAATTGAAAGGGTACCTAAAAATACTTCTTCAGTGAAAGTTTAAGGCAAATGTGGAATTCACTGTTTACTTACTCTGTGTGTTTGAATCAGCTTCACCTTCACTTAAGCATTTTGAAGTATTCTTCTTTCTTTCAGGACTAAGTAGTTGATTACCAGGTTCAACTGCAACTGAATTACACAAAAATATTTAAAAGATACAGTCGTTACATGCCTCATATTCCATTTTTCTCCTCAAAACCACATAGTAGTCAAATATTTACATCATCAAGGCATCTGCCAAGTTCAAAAGTAAACACAAAATTTTAAATAAGAAATGAAGATGGTAAAAATAAATTTGTCAAAGAAATAATTAAAAAGGACTCAGAGGAAATATTCCAGACACCTAGCACTTGATCAGTGATGACTGACAATTTATTAGCAAAATTTTCTCATAGCTGTTCAAATTTGACTCACCCGCTTCTATGATAAACCTAATGCAATTAATTAAGGAGCAAGCATATGTCACATTATCTGCAGAAGCCAGCAAATTCCAGAGACTAGGCTGCTGTAATGTCAGGCAGCAACAATCCAGAGCAGCTTGAAGATCTATACTTAATGGAATCTGGTCATGCATTAAATGCCACGACAGTGCCTGTGCAAAAATAAAAATTTCCCATTAATAGCAAATTCTCACAACAGAACTGATAACCAAAGGTGGTTATTTCTTACTTTTTTTTTTAAACTCAGCAATATGTAAAGTTTTATTAGCAAGTTGTATTGACTTTTTTCCCTGAGATAATAGAATTTATTTTAAGTACAAGAAAATTATGAGCATTCTACACTGTCTATTCAGTGTCCCAAAAATCAGTGCAGGGCCATTCTCCCAAATGCCAAGATCATTCCATCATTCAATCAACCTCTCCTTGCAAAAAGCTACTCTTGTCCCATAGGCTCATCTGATTTACTAGCACAGGTCAAATAAAACAGCCACTGAAGAATTTCTACAGTTAAGACAAGAAAATTGCCCAGATCAGAAGTTAGCCAATGGTGATTAGTTTAAGACAAAGTTGTTCCCTCTCCCAGCATTGCAGCACATCTTTAATTATGCTGTAGTTTCTTACCTCTACTGAAGTAACTACAAACTTCAGGATATCATCCTCTTTGTCAGGAGGAACACGGAGACCAGCTGGTAGTTTTGAGAGTAACAACAAATACTGAGCCAGTGCACGACAAAGAGTCATCATAGACTGATACATCACCTCATCTCCTATAAAATAAGACTGGATGAAATCTAGCAGTTTGAATTTTTTCTCCCTCAATAAATATTTTTCAGAATTATTTCATAAGAACTTGTACTTGTATGCTAGGTATCTTGATTTTTTTTTTAAATAGTAAGTTCATGTATTCACAAGGTATCTGTAAAGTACCTTTGCAGACCAGAGAATAAAGTTAAAAAGACCATTATTTCTATTACCAAAGATATCGCTTAGTTTTTTCCAGTAGGCTGATGGCTCAGTTGGCAATAGTGGTTGAAAAACCTGGTGGCTGGCAGGAAGGTTTTGTACAGTGGTAGACACATGATCCAGAGTTACCCTCCGAGCTGTTTCAAAGAAGCTACTTTTCTGGTCTCTTGAGATTTCATTCATGCCAAGGCTTAAACAAGGTGCTAACAAGCTCAGGTTGAATTCCTGAAATCAAGCAGTAAATAAAATGTAAATAAATTGCTTTTAAAGAGAAGCTAAGTATCTGAGGGAACTATTCTGGCATATTAATACAGTGGTAAAGTACCAGTTAATTAATTAACTCATTGTTATGACCTCTGCACTATTATGGTGTAACAATACTATAATTAAGGACATATTAGTTTCGCATTTAAATTCCAAACACTACTGTATTGGAAAGAGAAAAAAAAAAAAATCAACATGCTTATTCCAAATTTTCAGAACAGTATGTGAATAAAGCTTAAGGATGACCTATATACAAAGAATCTTGAAGCAATAAGTTCTCAAACAAATAAGTCAAAAATCTTTTTACAAACAGTTTCCACTATTATTTCTGCATACCAGCAGCAAAGAGAATTTAAACAAAATAGATACAAGTTGTCCTCTATGACAGATTTACTGTCTATGGCCTGTTAGCACATGACAAGTCATCTAGCACAGATATTTAAAAGGTTACAGAAACATCTGGCCTTGTAAGAGACTATGGCAAAACGAGAAGATTATGTAAAACGGTAAAACTGGATTTTGTGATTGCAATGCATAAACTAACCTTCACCTCCACTCCACACCCAACCTGTACTTCGAGAAAGCTACTACTATCAGCATTGCCAGACAAAGAAATGAAATGTATCTCCTATTTCAGTTTCCAAAATGCAGTGAAATTCAACAAGTGAACTACCAGTCTCATACAAATTTGAAGTGTTTACATTTAAAAATTTGATCTATAACATTACTACAGTAAGAACATTAGAAATAATTACATCCTCTTCAGCTGGCTGCATTGCATCTGACAAAGTTACCTTGCTGGTCATGAAGGAGTTCAGGTCAGGTTCAGGAATCCTTTTTAGCAGCTCTGCGCCTTCTAGTAGTGCTGAGTCAGACTTGATGCAACACTGCGACTTCACTAATGACACATACCAGTCCTTCAATAATTAAAGAAATTTATTACATATTTGTTTTCAGAAAATAATACAGTTCATGGGGGCAGGGGGAGAATTGCTTATTGGCATTGAACTGTGGTCCATTTAAGAGATCGCTAGGCCACATTAACGTAAAAAAAAAACACCAAAGAAAAATGCACAGCAAAACAGACAACTGGTAAACAGACCATCTTAAAAATCAAGCAATGGATGTTCACTGGCAAGTTGTCTATTTCCACACAGTCTGGACAGGAAACAAGGGAAAAAGCAGCATAACATTCAGCACAAGTGCATGTGTTAGGATTCTAAAGCTGAGGAGAGTATCTAGGAAAAAGCCTGGGATACTCAGTAGTCATACAAACACAACAGTGATAGCAAAAAAGCCAGTATCATAACCAAGGAAGAAAAGTCTTCAGATTCAAATAAATCAGCAGATGAAGATAACACCTATCTTTTAACACTCAGTGAAATAAATGAAGACCATCACACACCACTGCAAATTTACTCCTTAAATTATTAGTGATGAGCCTACAGGAATTAGTTAATAACTAATTTAACTATAAAGAGGCTCAGTTATCCCTTTTCTATGTTCTATCTCTCGTAACTGGACGTCCTGAATTTGCTGATATTAATTAGAATGCTGCTTAGCCTGTGAGATCTTCTACAGAATCTACTTCCTGTGTAACTAACTCCTGCACAAAGGAAGGAGGAGATTTTTTTGGTTAATTTGAAGACAAGAAGCCATGGGCAAATGGTTTGTGGGCACAAACTGTGTTTCCTCCTGCCATCTAAGTAACTCTCAATCTCTCTCTCCTAAGTCAATGAGTTCCTCCAAAACATCAGCTAATCAAATAATGTTTGCCATCTCAGTTACACACGTGTCATATTGCCGTGTATCACTGTAGAACACAAAGGAATGAAGAGGAGAAATGATATGATGTGCCACAGGACAAACTAGAAAGAAAGGAAGACAAGCGGTCCCAAAAGGCTCGCTCCTAGCCTCCCACCTCGCTTTGAAATAAATGCATCTAAGTACAGGAACAGTAGTTTGTTCTCTGAAAGTAATTTAAAGCTGAGAAGTGGCAACTGAGAAGTAATGCTTAATTTCCAAGAGACAACCACCAGTTTTCAGCAAATTAATAAAACTGATCACTGCAGTGCAGTGAACGCATCTGAAAACGAGTACGTATCTGTCTCTACTGGAACTTATATAAATTTTTCTATTAAAGTTATGCAAAGAAACAAAAGTTGATAGTTTTTCACAGCACTGTCAACATAAACATGTACGCACATGTTAATTATTCATCCTATGTTCAATAGTCAGTCAATACATGAAATTACTCACTGATCTATATTTGAGATTGACAATTCCAAGAACATTAACTGTATAATAAATATAAGTCGTATTTAAGTATTTTGTAATAAGCAAAAGCTTATTTAGAGAAAGAGTCACTAGAAGTGCCTTGGCTAAACATAATCTTACTTTGTCTAGAATTACATTCTCTAAAGCTGGTTGGTCTTCTCCATCTAGTGGGTGTGAGGTAACAAGAGGTGAAGGACTCGTAGTGTCTGGTGCTACCATAAGACGAAATCTGTCCAAGAGCGAGTAAAGTCTTTGGTGTCTGAAAACAGAAAAACACCATCAGCAGAGACCTAACTTATTCAGTTTTGTAAATAGTTTAAAAATGAAAAGACATCTAGGGGGCCAATTCTAATCCTGGGAGAGAAAACCAGTAGGGTCTTACGTTCTTTGTTGGATAGATGCAGTCATATGATAAAGACTGCAGATTTCACCAGCTGTCAGTAGCCAAAACAAATGAACTCAGCACCACCAACAATAAAGATCTAAATTTAATTTAGGTTTAAAACATGTGCATTCTTAAGCATAAAATGTAAGCTGTTCAGTTTTCTTTATGCAGTAAATCTTTTTAATGAGTAAGAAGAATCAAAGGTAGGGTACAGTTGATTTGATTGCAGACAAATACATTCTAACACATGCTAAACAACAATCTATTAAAACTTTTTTTAAAAAAATATATATCAAGAATTCTAGTTTGTAGATTTATGTCAGTGTCAGGGTTGTGGGTTTTTTGTTTGGGGTTTGGTTTTGTTCTGGTTTGGGTTTTATTTATTCCATTACTACCATCAAGAACTTGTATAAAGTTATTTTGCAATTTTGGAGTTTTTTTAAAAATTCAAACGTAACGTTACCTATGAAGGCACATTACTATCAATGTACTACAGTCTTGGGCTTTAGATTCTTTCTTATTTCAGTCAACAGATATTAACCTCAAACAACAATGGCATCAAAAGGAGTAAATTAGGCTCTTTCCAACATCAAATAAGCCTTTTCAAAAACTGAATAATCTTCTCCTTTTAGTATAGTTTAAACAGGTCAGAGAATAAACAGTTAAAACTTTCAACATAGCTGTCTGAAAACAAAAAACAAAAAAACACACACCACAAATAAAGCCCACCCTGCTTGAGCTTGCAAAATTCCGCAAAAGTTCGAGGAAAATAAAGTTGTTTTCAGCAATGTAATTTTTGTCAAGGAATTAACTTGCGGTTGCTGTCTCTCAAAAGCTAAATACTGAGTGGGATGTGGGAGAAAGAATTTGATGGCTTCAAGTCTTTAGCTTGCTTTAATTCTTAAGTATACTGCAAATTCAACTCATCCAACTACAACTGTCCTTGTCCCAGAATATGCCTGCATCTTTTAAGAGAGGCTTTACTCCTGTTTTACCTCCAAAAAGGACCCACTATCTTATCTTTAAGAAAAAACCCAAACATAGAAAAACAGAGTTAACACAATTAGTACTACAACATTACTTAGTTTGGCATTTTAATAAGTATTGGTATTATTTACCTTGTTGCTAATCCACTGTTTTGAAGGTATTCCTGAATTCTATCCAGTTCTTCAATTGGTAACTGAGTAACGCTGTTCTATAGGAAAGAGTCGCAAGAATTTTTATAGGATAAAAATTATATTTTGATTAATTTAAAATTATTACACTTGATTATATTGCTAGCACTACCCAATCTTATTTACAAATGAATATATTGATCCTTACCTGTAAAGTTGCAGCCAAAAGCATTTCTACCCGACGACAAGCCAGTGTGTCAACCATGCGAGCAAGTACACGGAATGGAGTACACAGAAGCTTATCAACATATAATGTTAAGACAGCTCCAGACTGGCTGAGATGTATCCCCTCTAAGCATTGTAAAGTCTTCTTCAGAGTTGTAGGCTAGATGTTGAAGCAAAACAAAAACCAGACAAAAAAAAAAAGCAATCAATTGGCATATAGAGATCTTAAAGCTAAAGGCAAAGGCATTTAGGAAAAACTATAGCAGACAACTAGCTGATCAATATAATTATCTACATATGACTAGGTCTGACTTACTGACTTAATATGAACACTAAGTTATTCCATGTTTAACTGTACAAGCTTACTCTTACAAACAGTAAGCAAAATTAGGAAGCAAAACCTTCAGGAAAAAAAACTAGAGAGACATAGGTGGAATTGTAGAAAGATTTGAAAACAGTGAGAAGCTTGAACTCTTGCTGGAAGAAGGCAGGAACAGAAGCATAGCCAAAAGAGACAGTACAGAAATCCAGATAAGCATTAGGGATTTTTTGAGCACATGTTTAATCACAGAAACAGCAATGGCTACTCAGGATTAAAAGAGGGTGTAAATGAACACCAATTCAGTACCAATAATCTGAAGGGAGAAATACAAAGACAAACTAGTTGGACTCATGGAACCAATCTCGTTTTCAAGTAGACTGTCAGCTATTTTAATTTTACTTATTTTTCTGATAACCACCAAACACTTCACAGAATGACTACGTCTTCCATTCAAATACATTGTTTAGTTCATTCTACCGATTCTTAGACATTAAAGCCCAGATTAATCTCACCTAACTTTAAAGTGTTTTTTCACATGCCTGAAGCACTAATGGAGTTGCACTAGATTTGCACAGACAATGGCAAGAGACAGGAAACTTTAGGAGGCTACTCAGGGTGCAGCACCATCTCCCTGCATTAGCTCTTAGAGGAAGCCCAGAAAATTACACTTCCCACCTAGTGAATTCCCAAGATTAAGAGGGATGCATACAACCTTATGTCCCTATAAAACAAAATCCACTCCTTTTAATTTGAAAACTAAAATAATCAACAGAAATCCTACACTGAATTCCTGAAGCAGTATTTTCCTCACCAAGAGGCTACAACTTGTGGGGCAGATCAATGGGGAAGGCATGGGCTTGCAAATCATGTTCACGTTTTTAAGGCCTATGAAGATGGACTGGTTCCTATTCCTGCCTCTGCAGTTAGTAGTTCTGTTATTTATGCTACCAAGGTACTGAAAGCAAAGACGAAAGTTACAGCTTTAATTTACACTTTGGATATTTTTTATGCAGCGGTAATACCCAGGAAGGAAGAAAAGCAGCTTAACCAACTCTTCTTGAATTCATAGATTTGATGGATTGGAACACATCTGATACTGAAGTTGCTAATATATTATAAGGTTCAGCGTTTGCATGTTTTAAGAAGTGACTTTAAAACTAAAATTAGAAGTTAGTAAGTGACCCAGAAATGTCAGAATTTGCATGCTTAACTCATTAAACTTACGCTGAAATATAAATGACTTTATTCTTTAAAAAAAAGTAAAAAAGTTAAAACTTACGGCTGCAAGATTCTCACACCGTGACTGAATGGCCTGGATGAAGAGACCACTGGCTGCTGAATTCCTGTGAACAGCACTAATAAAGTCTTGTACTGGAGGTTCATGAGACAGATTAATCAAGTCTTGAACATGATTCACAATAAGCCAGGTCAAGTGTTCTGAATCGTGTAGGTTTTGACACTAAAGGGGAAAAAAATTAAAATCCGATTCCAGTAATACCCATGTTAAGCATTTAATTACTGAAAACTTCATACAATAAGAAGTATTTCATATATAATTCTGGTAACTGTTCTAAAATAATGGCATGAAGTGTCTATATTTTAATATCATCATTATTTTTACATAACAAATTTTCCAAATGCTTTTGAACTTCTTGCAAATTAAGATATTTATAATGAATTCATAATTTTTTTTTTTGAAACATTAAAAATCCAGGTTAAAAACAAGTAAAGAGAAGGTCAATTCAAAGATGTTACTTTTCATGTTTGAAATAAACATGCACACACAGTCTTCTTGTAAAACATGATTTTCGTTTAGGCTTCTTTTTAAAGATTCCTTGTTACTACTGGCCTTAAGCACAAGATGAATAATTTTTGGAAAGCAAATTCCAAGAGATCTGTCAATAATTAATTTCTACAGAGGCTATGTGTGTATCAACCAGCAGTGCAATGCAACATGAAAACACCTGTAGAGGTAACCAGGTGATGCTGACACTACCCAGTAAAGAGGTTTTGGAGAGTTTTACCTCAGACTACCACTAATCTGACTCTGATGACTCAATGTCCACTAGTATTTGAAATGCTTCTTAAACATAGCTTTTGGTTTAGTTGACTCTGAAAGGAATGCAGTTTGCTTGCTCCAGAACTGCTCTGCCATGCAAACTAAAGTGCAATACTAAATATTACGGGAAGATTCACTTCAGAAGTTCCCAGTGAACTGTAATGCTATCATTGAGGCAGCAAGAGGCCAAAGCCACATGAACTGCTCTCATTAGAGAACCAAAATGGAAGTTAAATGTTAATGTAAAACCTCTCCTTTTAAGGTATAAAGACTAAAATTTGTTGATTCCTAGACACCATGCTGCTACTGATGTTGGGAAGTTGAACACTAGTGTGTAGCACCTCACAAGTAAGGAATATGACACCAAGCAGATAATTTGATTAGCCACCAGGTATCCTTTACAAGCCAAGAGAATCCTCAGTTCAGAATATAAAAAAAAGCCAAATGAGTTCATACCTAAGCTTACAGAAGCACCACATTCACGAGTCTTCATTTTTCGCTTGTAAACCAGACAGATTCAATTAATGCACATCAGTAATAAAAGACTGTCAGCATAATAACATAACTCAAAACTATAGTTATAAAATTCATAATTAAAAACTTACAACATAGTCACAAAAAAGAATGAGCGCTCCTCTTCTCACTATCTCTCGATTGCACATGCCACGTTTAGACTCTGAATTGGATTCATCACTGTCTCCAGATATCTGAGGGCTAAGCAGTTTAGTCGTAGAGAGACTGTGTCTCCTGCAAGAAACACATCATATTTTGTTAATATTTTAGTATTATATTTTATTACTATGGCTACTGAAACATTAACGATCAAGTTGTTTGGAATGTGACCAACATCCTTACATAATATTTATTTTCCTAGAAACTTCTTTCAAACATTATCTTGCTTTGAAGCGAACACTTTGCTTTCCATCAGCTCTTTACTTTCTAACAACTGCAGTATCACTTTTTTGTTCCGTGCTTATTACTTCCTTAGACAGTCTGAAAAACTAAGTAGGTTATTTAAAAGAAAAACACAGGCTATTGCATATCTGGCAGGATAACAGAGCCTAACTCTGTATTTTCTTCTCTCGACTAAGTGCTCAAGAGCACTGATTTGGCTTACGTCAGATCGAAAGTGATGCCCCAACCCAGGAAAAAAATAGAGCTGAAATCAATAAATCAAAAAAGAAAACTGCAACAAATAGCAGATGTCGCCTTAGCTATTTTCGTTGCCCTACTTTGCGTATAAGCCTGGTGATTTCATGTTTCCTCAAATTAGAATTATTTTTTCACATCATGAGGTTGAACTGAGGCAAGAATCTCACTTCTGAGCAAATACCGATCCACTCATGTTGTGAAGCAAGATTAGTCTTCCCTGACATTCACCGTACAAGCATCAGAAATGTCTCTTCAGCCAGTTGTTAATCTCCCTCTACAGTTAACACAGAGGGATACCCACCCACATAGCGGGGTATCTTCCTTAATCCCAGAGGATGAATCATACCAATGCCTGCCAGGTGGGATGAACTACCTTCAGACCAAGAGCACACTAATTTTAGACCAAATCTCTGAAATTCATACAACTAACCTTAAGTGAGCTTACTATGGTGCTAGATGCTACTGGATCAGCGTGGTGCTGATACTATGTTTTCATAGCATTTAGTAATAGACCCACTGAGAACAGAGAACAGTTACAATTATAATTAGTTACAGTTATACTGATCAGATTGTATTTTCATAAACACAGCAGTGTATATCAGCTGCATGGCTGGTTATTTGCTAGAAGGTGAAATATCATGTCTCCATATGAACATGAAATCTGAAATACTGAATATTTTGGTTTAGTTATTTCCACAATTTTAATTAAAGTAGTACACAGATGACACCTTCTTGAAAGTGGAGAGGTTATCCGGTAGTTCTCTTGAGGAACAACTGAGGGCAGGACACATCCTTAGTGGCATACTGATATCAGAACAGACAATATGTATACACCTAAAGGAAACGCAAACTATCTATTTCAGAATTCAAATAGTACTATTCAACAGGCTGACAGGCTCAGCAGATAAAAAGCTAGATTATTTTTTAATATAATTTTTGCAAATATAATTGAAGACACATTACTACCACTAGGGATCAAAAACAATCTTACTTTGGGGTTTGATGCACTTCTGACCACCAGTTGTAGTTGGTATAATTGACAAGAAGCAGGATTTGACACCAGAGGAGAACTAAAGAAGGATGCGTGGGAATCATTGACTGAACAAGGTCACTCAAACTTTCAAGAGTATAGAAACTACCATCAGATCCGTCTCCTGTAAAAAGTCTGGTGGCTGCAGCTGTGATTCTTCTAAACATCCCTGAAAACAATCAAAGCATGTTAGAGTAACTACGCTCCAGTCTGAATTCTGAAGTTTTAAAATTTTTCAGAGCACCCTGAGAATACAAATCTTGTTTCATAAGCCACTACCATTCCTGGAAGAAGAATATATTCTAAGTGGTTTTACAAATGCAAGGCAAGTCATGGAGTTTGCCCAAGGGGAGTGTGCAAACCAGTAATGACCAGCTCCCAGATTCAATAAATAATGTTTTAGATCAGACTAGAATTGGAATGAAACCTATATTCTGAACTTTTCCTCTGTCATCATCAAAAAGTATCTGATACATGAAAATCTTACCAAATTTAAAATTGTTAGCTACAGACCAGGATTTGGGGGGATTTTTTTGTTTAGTGGTTTTTTGTTTGTTTTGTTTGTTTGTTTTATAAAATAAAACACAGAAGTTCTAATTAAGAACCATGCTGTAACTACTATTCTACATACTAAGGAAGATCACTTACAAGTCTCGTACTTCAGATTAGGGCTTCCCAAATACATTCAGTTGAAACTAAACTGACACCCTCCTTCCACCCAAATTCTAAAGTGCAAAAAGTATATGTTTTTAAGTGGAGAAAAGTCATTACCCTGCATACTAAACACTGAATTTTGCTTTCTGACTTGCTGATTCTGTATTCATATGCCAAAATGACAGAAGGGAGAACAAGGAAAATGGAAAAAACTTAAAGCTGTCTAAAGGTACAGGACTTTTTGAGTTTCTATAAGATCAGATCAGGGGAAAAAGAGTTTATTCAGAACCCGATAAAACACAAAAGCTAATCAGAATAACAGAGATCTATAGTGTTGCTTGCTTGCATTGCCAGATACAGAGAATAATGAAGCTGTAAATTCCACAGCCATGCGGACCAGTTTAAGCTGCCCTCAGGATCGATAAATACACAAACAGCAAAGAATGGGAAAAATAACTGAGTCTCAAAACTCGAGTTCCACTTACTAGCAAACCGGCACTGTTTCCATTCCAGCTTCCTGTATTTGCAGTAATTGCACCACCTAGTGACTTTCTACAGTCATGAAAGTCACCACATGCTAATCTTTTCACTTTGTCTATGCCTTTTATTTCCATTAACTTTTAAGTAGCACACTGAAAATGTTCATTTCTAATCTGGAAGCCTCCTATAGTTGACTACGTAGGAGTCAGCAATTTCACATTTTGAAAAAACTATAAGCATCTAAGTAGAATAGTGGTTAAAAATGTCAGAATACCTTAGTCTATGTTCCCAGATACAAGTCACTATAAGCTGCACCTGCAGTTAGGAGAGTATAACTTAAAAAGAAAAAAATTATAGAGTTTTAACTGAACAAAAAAAGAAGTACTACAAAACCAGGCACTTAGTTAACACTAAGACTAAACCTGAAAGAAAATGCCACGACATGAAAATACAGCCCAAGTGTCTGAACAGCTTTCCTTCTACTCTGTTACATCATATCAGGGAATCACATTACTATCAGTATTTAGAGTTGACTTGTAGTCTTAGATTAAATTCATTTCTAGGGATCAAGCAATACACATATCCCAGTGCTATGCATGAGTATTTTAATATTTAATTTTAATTTGTCATGAAAATCTCTACATAGTTGCTAGCAAGACTCTCAGTGCAGACTGGAAGCCAGTCTCTGCAGCAGAACTACCTCAGCCTGCCTGTTCCATTATGCCCAGCTCCAACCATGGAAGAACCAACTTCCCTGATTTCAATCACCAGCTTGATTTTCTCATTTCATTAGTCCTGGCTTGTCACCACTTAATGGATTACTCCAAATTACCTTGGCCTAAGTTACTTGTTATAATATTTGTTTCAAATGTTTCTTCATAACAGCAATTAATAGCATTCACACTTCAGTTACTATTGTAACAGATGCATGGGAAAAGAGAACTACCACTCACTGCATCCAGAGTCCTGTGCCCTAAAGATGGCTTCAAAAAAAAAAAAAGATCAAGGAAGGCTTTGGTAACTATCACCATATTTTGTGCCTCTCCACTCACAACGCTGGAGTCTTTGCGGCAAGAACTTAGGTTTAGTGGACTCCAGTTCTTAAACTGAAGCTCCTTTCTGACAAGTCAAAACATCATCCACCACAGCAGCACAAACTCTCACAATGTAATTCAATTGGTTTCCCATTCACTTTTCTACCTGTTACTGTCACTGAAGATTAGGAGGAATAAAGCTACTGAAAGTTAAATCAAGGCAATGCAGAAGCTTTGAGCTTTGATAGAGAATCAGCTGAAGACCCAGAACACTTCCACCAGCACTTTATTTACTTATTCTAAGTCTACACCTACAATACTTATGTTTGCAAGAAGCAGCTGGTAGCAATAACAGGAACAGAACCAAGTTTTTTTTCTCAAGACAGGACTTTAGAACTGAAATCTGTAGGAAGAGCTTAAAAATTAAGATGTTGATATGACATAATGGAGCACAGAATCATGCTAAATGCCTAACAGTATTCTGCATGCACTTTTTTTGTTATTTGCGTCTGCTAAGTAGTGAAGTACTGTAACTCCCTTTTTACAGATGAGGCCATGGAACAGGGAGCTCCTTGTCCCATATCAGCAAGGAAGTCTACGAAGAACCAGGGACTTGTGCCAAGACCTTTTAAATCGCAGCCAACTACTGTAATCCAAGGCTGGATTTCAACTGCAGATTGCAAAACAGAAGGCAAAAAGGACAGACACAATAAAGAAAGAAAAGAAAGGGAAGAGACTGCCACCATTAGGAAAATAAGACTAAGGAACCAGGCTAAGGACTAGGGAATTATTCAAGTGCCAGAGATAGGATATCTAACAGAAGACACCTGAGGCAGAATTCCCAAGCCTGAAAAAAAAGATCTCAAGAGCAGCTAGCTAGCTGGAACAGGACTACCTTTCTTACTTTTCTGGTTCTAGTTTTTGGTTGTTTGTTTGGGATTTTTTTGGTATGCTTTTATTAATTATGACAAAGAACAGGAACATACATTGTCATGAGTTTGAACCAGTGGTCTGCAACTCAGTAAGTTAAGCCTGGACACACCTACGAACCTCCAAATTTAGAAAAACCATGAGAAATATAGCCCCAAATTTGGAATGCTTTGAACTTTTGGACTAAAAGTTTTTTAGACAGTTAAAAGGAGAGATGAAGTCACTAGTTACCTTTTTTTTTCTCCCCACATAAACAGAAAAAAAAGTGAAATTGTGCCCAGCATGCACGAGCTGTAAGTTTGGGGGTTTCTTTATACTGAGCAGGACAGAATGCCTTCAGCACCTACATACTCCTTTTCAGTAGTTCAATGCATTCAACCATTGTCTCAGAACTGAAAAAACACCCCGCCACTGCATGCTACAACACGAGGCATTGTTTAAAGTATTACCTGATTTGAAGATATGTATTAAGCACATAAGCAGCGTGCCCAGCTCCTGGCAGTAGAAAGTATGTTGCTGTTCATTCATGTCCACTTTCAGTTGTTTGGTAACAATATCTTCCAGTAGAATGCCAACCAGTTGTAGTAAGAACCTTGAAAAACCATGTATACGATCAACAGAGAAACTACCAATGCAACACATTTCAGAGTAAGATGAGGTTTGCCTATGAAACTCAGTAAATTTGAAAAATCAAATATGAAGTTCTTGTCCATTCATCCTAAATGGGATGCTAAATTAAATGCTATAGAACAGGTTGACCTAAAACAAATATGATGCTATAGGTACGGAGAGATGATCACAAGCACTTCAATAATCTACCCATCAGCTAAAGTCATGATAGCATGCATACACCAGCCCACCTCACACAGTAAACATTCAACATGTTATGGTGTCTTTATAGTGATCTGCAATGAGTTAAAAACACATCATGACAGTTACTGGAGCTCAGCTGAGGAGGGGTAACTCAGCAAGTCACAGTAATTTAGCTGTTTACAGTCTCATCTATCCACACTCTACCACACAGGTTCTGTATCTAACCTCCAGCTGGGGCCAGGGGGAGTGGAAGGAATATCAAAAGAAAGACCAGAAAAGGGCATTTGAGGAAAGCAATCCTTGCTCCTGACCATAATCATTCTTCAAGTCACTCCTGTTGGACACAAGGTCACATTAAGAGAGTCCAGAAGCCCTTTTTCCCTTTACCTATCACCCTCACAGCCAGCTGTATGATAAGAAACATCATTTTATTTCTATCTGAAGTTCCACACTTGAGTAAAAAGTTTACTTAGACAAATAGCTATTTCAAATGCTTCCCACCACATTAAAACATAACGCTTTAATGACAAACATCATGTCAACGTAACACCACTGCCATTTCTCCACATTTCTTTTTGCCTTAATGACAAACATCATGTCAACATAACACCACTGCCATTTCTCCACATTTCTTTTGCTTGAAGTTTCTCACTCTGAGAACATCAGCATGGGAAGCTAACTAGACAAAGCCACCTCTTTAAAAACAGGAAATAAAGAGCAGGAC